CGTCGTCCAAAGGAATAATGATTTGGACTTGGCCTACCTGGAAGCACAGAAGTTAGTATTTGTAGATCCCGCTACCAAACAGCAATCGACACTGCACCATTGTAACACGATATATACGTATGTTTTATATATAATATATATAAATATGTAGCACCAACTTGCGATTTCGCCCCCTCTGCCAAATCACCAAAAATTCACTCAAACTTTCCCTCTCTCTCTCTTTCTCTCTCTCTCTCTCCCCCTATCTCTTTCTCTCCTTTCTCTCACTCTCTACCTCTCTCTTTCTCTCTCTCTCTCGTTCTCTTTCTTTCTCTCTCTTACTCGTTCTCTCTCAGCAGTAATTAAGAGGAAAGAGATGCGTGCGTCTCCGGTACGACGTAAAAATGAACAGATCCGAAAACTAGAAGATCGAATGATTTCAGAGATTTCAAAGATTTCGTGTTTCGACTCGCACCTGGATTCGCAGCATCGATAAAGATTAAAAGACGCGCGGGGGAGAGGGTGCAAGCCAGGGAGATCAAGGAGAACCGGTCACGTTGAGTTACAATCGACATGTTAACAAAAATAGTAATAATAATGACAATAATAATGGTAATAATAAAATAACAAAAGACAAAGGCAACAGAGTCGTTCGAGAAAGCAGTGTACAGTAATGTCTCCCTTACTGACGCCCAGATCGTCCACTAAAATGGACAATTTGGGAAGAGGAGACACGATTATTCTAGCCTCGCGGCTCGTTTTTATAATTGTGGACAATTTATAACTATAAAAGTAAACCGCAAGGCTCGAATTTTTGTGGTCAATCTGGGCGTCAATTAGAGAGACATTACTGTAATCGCGGACCCCCGCGAGGAAAGAGACACACAGAGAACTGATCCGTGGTAGGCCGGCGTGTCGGAAATTAGATGACAATGTACTATATAATATGCCCGGGGAAACAATGTTAGGTCTAATCGCAGGCTTAGCTGGACACGCAATGTGTTAATGTCGACATCAAAATTGTTAGGTTTCCGCGGATCCGTGACCGTTCGTTCGGACGGGGTCGAAAGAACTTGGAGGAAGATGACGGATCAACCCTCGGGGATCAACAATCAGGGGGTAGGTTCAACACGAAAATAGGCAGTAGGCTGGGAAAGAGACAGCTACAGCGACAAAATGAGAGAGAGAGAGAGAGAGAGAGAGAGAGAGAGAGAGAGAAAGAGAGTGAGAGAGAGAGAGAGGCTGAGAGAGCGACAAAGAACCTATAACGTGTGAGCAAGAGAAATTAAGACAGAGAGAAAAAGAGAGAGAGAGATACAGGAAAAAGAGAGACACAGAGACAGTAAGAGAGAGGGAGGCAAGAGTTACGACACAGAAATCTCCAACTTGATCTGTAGACACCAAAGATACCTGCGAGCCCAGTGAAAAAAAATGTATAGAACGTAACAGGGATACGGTGGTCGTAATTTTCGGACGTCCCACGGGAGATCTCATCCGACGATAGGGTGTCTCATCCATCTCCCCGAGAACGTGATTCCTCTCAAAGGGTAAAAAACACCGTTCCGAGAGGGAGATAGAATGCTGGTCGCCTATCGAGGGATGCGTTTTTTCAACGACAACAACGACGACGACGACGACGAAGAAGAAAAAATTAAAAAATAGAAAGAAGAACAAATAACAATGCTCGTCGGAATCCGTTCGAAGAATAATCCGAGACATATCGGTCGAGAAAATTACCACCACCAAGGCGAGGATAATATAATCAAGGGGGTAAATAGTCCACCAACCCGGCAAGCAAAAAGATATGTATGTCCACAAGGCACATTTATTAAACATGATCACCATCGAATATAAATCGTCGATATACAGAAAAAAAAGTGTATACAAGGGGTAAAAAAAAAAAGATCAGTAAACATTACTTCTGTACGTGTGTCCGTGTTTCGCGCGTGTGTAAATATATTGCGTCCGTGTGTTTCAACGTGTTTTTTCCTGTGTGTAAGATTCGCGCGTGTGTATTTTGCGAGTGTATCTTTTTTCTCTATCGATCCCAGTTGATGAAAGAACGCAATCGGGGCAGGAGGAAGATAAGATAAAATAAAATAAAATAAAATAGAATAAAACAAAATAAAATAAAAAAAAAGAAGACATTACCGTCTGTATAATTTAAGAGGGGAGGAAAAAAAATAGAAAAAAATAACAACCAGACAGGCAAAAAGGGGTGGTTAAGGGGAAAAGTGTCGCACAGAATCGAACCGGTCCCGTTTCACATCGCGAGAGGATCGTCGACTCACTTGCAACGATCCGCTCTCGCCGGGACAATCGCGATCGGCCGTCGTCGACGAGATACTCTCTCAGCCCCTTGCCCGCCTCGCGATCGACGCTCCTCCGAGAATCAGATACTAATTAAATTAATTAAAATTCGCGGGCAGCCCGCGCGCGGCGATGACCGCGGCGAGGGCCTCGAAGGGAGACCCCACTGCTCTCGAGAGCAGGGCAAGGGGCCCCGTTTATTATGCAGCTTCCATGCGCGAACAAGGCACCGATCAGGAATGACTAAAAAAAAAGTGTTCTTCCGAATTAAAGATCGCGCCGCCACTTCGCAGCCTCAGGTCGAGAGATAGCGACAACAAACGTAACCGACGAGATCAGAGAACCGACGACAATGAGTTAAGAATGTAAATTTGCGAGAGGGACGACACTGTCAGTCACCAAGGTTAGCGGTTCACAATTAATAAAGAGAATAAAATGAAGTCGACTCTGTCGGATATCGAATCGAAATAAAATCGGATAAAATTGAAAGAGAAAAAAAAATATTAGAGAAACCAGACGACACACATCCCCACGCAATAATAATGGAGGGAGGAGAAAAATGCCACGGCCATCATCGGATATATATATATATATATACATGTATATATATATATATATCCTGTCTCTTATACACATCTAGATGTGTATAAGAGACAGGATATATATATATATATAAAATGCCACGGCCATCATCGGATATATATATATATATAAAATGCCACGGCCATCATCGGATATATATATATATATAAAATGCCACGGCCATCATCGGATATATATATATATATAAAATGCCACGGCCATCATCGGATATATATATATATATAAAATGCCACGGCCATCATCGGATATATATATATATATAAAATGCCACGGCCATCATCGGATATATATATATATATAAAATGCCACGGCCATCATCGGATATATATATATATATAAAATGCCACGGCCATCATCGGATATATATATATATATAAAATGCCACGGCCATCATCGGATATATATATATATATAAAATGCCACGGCCATCATCGGATATATATATATATATAAAATGCCACGGCCATCATCGGATATATATATATATATAAAATGCCACGGCCATCATCGGATATATATATATATATAAAATGCCACGGCCATCATCGGATATATATATATATATAAAATGCCACGGCCATCATCGGATATATATATATATATAAAATGCCACGGCCATCATCGGATATATATATATATATAAAATGCCACGGCCATCATCGGATATATATATATATATAAAATGCCACGGCCATCATCGGATATATATATATATATAAAATGCCACGGCCATCATCGGATATATATATATATATAAAATGCCACGGCCATCATCGGATATATATATATATATAAAATGCCACGGCCATCATCGGATATATATATATATATAAAATGCCACGGCCATCATCGGATATATATATATATATAAAATGCCACGGCCATCATCGGATATATATATATATATAAAATGCCACGGCCATCATCGGATATATATATATATATAAAATGCCACGGCCATCATCGGATATATATATATATATAAAATGCCACGGCCATCATCGGATATATATATATATATAAAATGCCACGGCCATCATCGGATATATATATATATATAAAATGCCACGGCCATCATCGGATATATATATATATATAAAATGCCACGGCCATCATCGGATATATATATATATATAAAATGCCACGGCCATCATCGGATATATATATATATATAAAATGCCACGGCCATCATCGGATATATATATATATATAAAATGCCACGGCCATCATCGGATATATATATATATATAAAATGCCACGGCCATCATCGGATATATATATATATATAAAATGCCACGGCCATCATCGGATATATATATATATATAAAATGCCACGGCCATCATCGGATATATATATATATATAAAATGCCACGGCCATCATCGGATATATATATATATATAAAATGCCACGGCCATCATCGGATATATATATATATATAAAATGCCACGGCCATCATCGGATATATATATATATATAAAATGCCACGGCCATCATCGGATATATATATATATATAAAATGCCACGGCCATCATCGGATATATATATATATATAAAATGCCACGGCCATCATCGGATATATATATATATATAAAATGCCACGGCCATCATCGGATATATATATATATATAAAATGCCACGGCCATCATCGGATATATATATATATATAAAATGCCACGGCCATCATCGGATATATATATATATATAAAATGCCACGGCCATCATCGGATATATATATATATATACATGTATATATATATGTATATATATATATCCTGTCTCTTATACACATCTGGCCGTGGCATTTTATATATATATATATCAGCAAATATTTTGGAGTTAGTATACGGAGGAGGAGATGCGGTGTACTATCAAATTTCTACTCCGATAATAATCACTCTCCTCCTTTCGCCACCGAACCATACACGCACGCACGCGCACACACACACTCTTCCCCTTCCTCTCCCTTGATAGCCTGCGGGATACGTGTATAATACGGCTCGTGTGTGTGAGTGCCCAGCGAAAGCCAATGGCAGGTAGCACACGATCGGGGAGGGCGATCTTATGCGACGATGCGTAAACTTTGGCTAATAGCGATTTTACTTTTCCTTTCTTCTCGTTTTTTAACACGTTCAGCGCCACGAGAATCGGCTAAAATTCCCTCTCGAAGTCGAAGCAATTTAATTGATTAAATCGAACACATTTATCACACAATGGATGACATTCGAACGCGACGCTTAACGCGTTAAACACGTCCGCGAATGCACGCGGCTCGGATATGTTCGAGCACCGGCGCATAATCCCGCCCGTTCGATGTGTCTCGTTTCATCGAGTAGGCGCATCTTACCGTTACGGTCCCGCCAGTGATCTGTGACGAAAGTGCCAGCGGAGCTCCGTCCATCCGTACACCGAGACGCCCGTCCTCTCTTCGTCGATGAACGGAGCTCCGCCGTGTTTCAGAGAAAAGATCTCGACGCGACGGACGGAAGGCGTCGACGATCCGCCGAACATCCGACAAATCGGATCGCGACGCCCGCGATCCAGTCGCGATACATTCGACTCGCGTCCGAAGACTCACCAAGGTACGCCCCAACGCGCAGCGCTCTGCAACGGCGCAGTTTCCGACCAAAAGTCAGTTTCTCTTAAATTTTATAGCGCGTTAGAGAAGAAATCGTACGATAACCTAAAATTGTATTGACATAACCTTGACCTTGACATAACCTAAAATTCTATGTTAATTTCAATGTCAATTTGAATAATGTTTAATAATGTTCTCTCGTTGGCCAAAAATCACCATATTCCAGAGCGCTGTGCAACGGAGGGATGCGAAACGAGGGATCCAAAGTTTCGGCCGATTGGAATGCTTCGGTTCGCTAGACTGCGGATTTTATGCACGCTTCGCAGAAACGAGTAAGCACAATTCGAAGCAACGAACAGGGAAGCGGATAATTCTCGTCGCGTAAAAGTCTCGAACGTCTTAAAATCATCGAAAGAAATTTCTGTTCGACATCCCCGTTCTTCTCCGGCACAAAGATCCGCAGTCTAATGATCACCGTCATGGTGGTCCACGCTAATTAGCGGATCCCCCGCCTGGCGTCGCCACCGCGGATCTAGTTTCTAAGATGTCTATTAATGCTAGATGAAGCCGACTCAGGAAGCGTAATCCCGACGGTGAATAGTATCGGCAGGCATTACCCGATTCTCGGAGTCGCGTCTGCAGGATCGTGACCGCGACTTCCGGTTTCATAGAGCACGCGTGGACCGGAAGTCGCGGCCGCCTCCGGCGCTTCGTAACGACGAAACAGGACTTTAGCTACCAGGCTAGAAGCGTTCGGCGGCCGTAGAACGGTTCGCTCCGTCGAGGAACTCGAATTTATTGCACTTCTACGAAAGTCGCGTGTGTCGTCTTCGTAACTCGACCGGAACTGTTTTCCGAAGCGACCGAACGCTTCTGGCTGGCGGCGCGTGTACCAAAGTATACTACTGCTCGACTCTGTGTATATGCGATACGCTAATCCCGCATCCTGTCAAACCGAGAGTAGAACTGTGTGTGTGGGTGTGTACGTTTGCGGGATCGAAGGGGATCGGGAGAGCTCGTGGAAGAGGAGAGAGTCTGGAACGGGAGAGAAAGTGTCTCGGACAGTCTGGGAGGCGAGGAGACGATCGAGAGATCGGAACGAGCGAACGTGTCCAACTCCATCTTCCATCTGAACGATGAACTCGTGTTTCGCAGAGGACGGCGACGCGCCGCGACCGAATACTTGCGCGCGCAGCTCCAGCGACGGTCGAGCGAAACAGAGGACGAAAACGACACCATCGCGTAATCGGACGACGGCTGACGGAGAAAGATGGTTACAGGTACTCGTTGTACGCGCGTCCCTCAACAAAACCACGACATGCGAAACAGTCATCTCTGTACCCGTGGACTTTGGACCGTCGAGGCAACGACGAGCGTTTGAGCGTTCACTGTCGATCGCGCCCGTTTCTCTCGTCGTTGCCGAGTTGTATGCGAACGAAATAAAGAGAAGGAGGGGGGGGGGGAAGAAAAGGAGCACGGGGATACGCGTGGCAAGAAGAAATTGTGATCACCGATAGCACTTCGCTGGCCACGCGATCGCGCCGGGATCGAAACCGATTTTCAAACTCTATCGTCATGGGTTCCCTGAAATCGTGGGAGGTCTCGCAGAGCGCCGATCACGGGCCTACACACAGCCTAGGGAAAGGTGAGAACGCAACTGGAAGATCTTCCCGGGCATGGCAGTGTTCGATCGGATCGACGAGCTATTTCGCCCGCACGCTCTCGACACCGATATTCGGCTCTTATCCGATTGCCCACCGATTATCACGAATTCAAACCGCGGGGATGAAAGGATCCCGCCCGACACCGAACTGGGAACGTACGATTACTTAATAAGTACTTCTCGATACTCGACCGCGAATCACGGCGACGCGCGTCTGTCGAAACGATACGGTTTCTTCAAAGTGAACGACGAACTTCGAGCCCTGAATAACGCATTCGTCAAATCCTTCGCGGCTGTCCAAATGGCGCGCGGACTACGTTTATCCTACGATCAGAAGTTTCCCTGGCTCCTGGTCGAGCCTTTCAACGATCTCTGGATAGAATATAGATCTATGAGATGGATCGTGGAATTTGTATCTCCGTTTGTATGTTAAGGATATGCGTGTAAAGTAGATGCCGCGTGATAACGGAGAAGCTACCCTCCGCGTCGGATATCGGAGCTTAAAAACTCGTTAACATTGGATGGAATGTGTCCATTGCTTACTTGCTAATAAAAATATTTCTAGCAAAATATATAAATCGTTCTTATATCGCATACACGTATATACATGCATGTATAAATGAACACACGGACTCTGTGTGTCTGTATATATTCATAGATATACGCATGTATATATGTATATGTTTCTGCATCTTCGCTCAGATACTTTGTATATTTATATATAAATTTATATGTATATATTTACATATGCATATAAATCGCGCGGCGACCTCCGAGAAAAGAAATCTAAAAGAGGAAGAGACCTCGTTCGAGAGTTTCAAGGCACTTTTGTTGCGCCTCGCGACGATAAAAGACGAGGCAACGAATAGAACGCGACGAATTTACCGATCGTCGGGAGAACCTTTGGAAACCAAAAAGGAAAAAAATATATATATCTATATATATATATAGAAGAATATAACACGTAACACACTCTAAGTACTGTTGCTCGTCGATAAGTATCAAAATGGAAAAACGAGTATGAGAAAAGAGCGATCGGCGCGCGCGACTCTATCGCCCGAACAGACAAGTTCCTATGTATAATTACAGCGAATTCGAATGTTCCGAATCCTGGAGAAACGAATGATGATCTAGAAAAAGAGACTCGGCGAGACCGACAGAGATGTTTGCCGGCGATAAAGTCGACCGAGGGGGCACCGTGCACGTTCCAGTCGCGGTAGATGAGGGTTCGAAGACCTCTCAAAACGACAGCATCGTGCGGAATGTCTTTAGATATATAACTACCATGAATAGAATAATGTAGCGCGCACGATCGTGGAAAAATGGAATCACGTTAACGACCCGATCAATCCTCTGGCCGTGTCGAATAGCCTGGCTACACGGAACGGGAGACGTTGGACGAACGTCTATCTTTTATTTCTTAAAAAGAAATGCTAGGTAAACTGGTTCGCTCGGAGAAGAGAGCCGATCTAGGCGGCGTAGAAAACTATGTATAACACGTTAGTGTATAAATGAGCACGCGTTCGACGGCTAAGATTTCGGGTGCGGTTTGGTGTGCGCGGATCGATCAAAGCTGCGGATAAAATTGAGCAGGATAAGGCAAGCCCGGCGCGGCGGCTGGCGTTTGGGCGAACGCGGTCGCTGGTGTGTGCCAGGTGGCTCGTTTCGCGACAGTGCCAGGTGATTCCGGTGGGAACGCGGACTCCCAGGTGCGTTTCAGACCCATGATAGCGGCGTGATTGATGGGCGCCGCTTGGACGATGGGCGTCAAGAGACTGTGAGGCGTCGGAGCCCTCAGAATCGGGATTCTGGATGGGACATTGAACAAGAGGAACGGCGTGTGTGTCGGCGGTTGAGCATGGAGCGCGGCCGCGGCCGCGGCGGCTGCGGCTGCGGCCGGGGGAGTCATCGCGTACGCCGGGATTTGATGTTGAGGATTCGGTCCGGGCAGGGCCAGTGTTTTAGTCGTGACCGACGATGTCGGAGATGGGGTGGTAGAGGTGGGCGGCGGGTTCGAGGCCAAGGCCATCAGCCAAAAGTCCTGATTTCGGATCGCCTGCGCCTGAGCCTGGGCTTGAGCTTGCGCCTGTGCTTGCGCCTGAGCCTGTACTAACGCGTGAATGTCCCACAAGGGAGGCTGCGCCGTCGGCACCGGCACCGGCACCGGCGTCGGCGGCGGTGGATGCGGGTGCGGATGCGGATGCGTCAATGTCGCGGAAGTTTGTGTGGTCAACGTACCGGGTGATAGCAGAGCCTTGGTCGACGGCGGCGTTACCGCACCTGTCAATACCAGATTCATATCGTCCCCGCTGCACTGGAACACTTCGATGTACCGTTGCTTCTTCCCGTAGATCATGTACCGGTGATGCCGCTGCGACGCGCATGCGAACGCCGAGCTCTCGCTGTCCATCTGGATGAACGCCTCGCCGGACGGCTGACCCTGAAAACCGGGCCAATTAGTTGACTCGTCCTCTGCACACACATTGTCGTCGAGAGCAGCGTTCCTCCAGTCCTGAGAGAACGATTGCGAAACGCTGCAGGTTCGGAGGAGAACTCGCATCCACTCACTTGAGCATTGTATACCATATGAACACCTTGGTAGACGATATTCTTCGAATGCTCGCCCATGAACTCTAGAATATGCTCGACCAGAGCCTCGTAAGGGAGGCCGCGCAACCGCACGCAATCCTTGCGCGTGCCGGACGTGATGATATGCTGGGGAAGAATCGGTGGAAGCTGCGGAATCGGCGGGGTCGGAAGCACCACCTGCTTCGGGTCGATCGCCCTGTTCAACACCTAGAATCGATATGCAAATCGACAGGCTATTTTCGCTTTTCTGTCCGGGCTTTCCCCGTTCTCTCTACCCGCATTTTCGTTCTATCCGGCGCACGCACCTGTTGCACCTCCGCGATTGTGCTTCGAAACAGTTCGATATACCGGGTACCGATGCAATCTCTGTGCTTGCTCAGAGCCTTCACGGCGTCCTCTTCCTTCGCGAACAGCACGAACGCGTCGCCGGTCGCTCTGCCGTCGGGTTTCTTCACGAACAGCACTCCGTCCTCGCCGTCCAACACGTGGCAGGGCTTTTGACCGGACAGGAAGAAGTCGAGCTGCGGAGAAGAATCGTGTGATCAGCAGCCGTAGAAGATAGAAGAGAAGATAATGAAACAGGGATTTCATCCCGGAAAGTATCAACTTTCAACTACTCACCACTTGCTTGGCGACGCAATCGTACGGCAGCCCTCTCATTCTGACAATCACCTGAGCTCCCCTGGACAAAAATGCGTGAGCTTCACCGCTCGTGCCGCCCGCGACACCGACAAAGTCCTCGCCGGAAGCCTTGTACACCTCGATGTAACGTCCTCCCATATGGTGTTTATGTCTCTTCAACGCCATGTCTCTGTGCTCTTTGTTAACGAATCGGATCAACGCCTCGCCGTTCCGTCTTCCCATAGGACTCAAACACAACGCTACGCCACCCCTGAAACGGAGAACAGGAACGTTTCAATCGAACGGGAAACCACCGGTTTTCTGGCGATCGTTAAACGACTGATAATTATTAATCGAAACGAGTTTACAACCACAATGATCATAGGAATCGTTATATATATATATATATTAATAACGGTGAGATTCGTGACCCAAGATAGCGGTTATCATTGCATAAGACATAAACAAGCGGATCTTTTTCGGAAAGATTGTGTTTACTAATTCTCGCCCACGGTAAACAGGCGAGAATTTTCGTAAAACATCGCGGCGTTTTCGCTCGTCAGGATTCGGCTATGCTAGCAAAGATGGAACGGGGGGAGGTGTCTATTTACACGACAAATATGGATGTTTACCTTTTTGAAACGGATCCCAGTAGCTTGTACACAAATACAGTTGTTACAATTAAATCTTCGATAACGATAACACGGGGCGCGAGCGCGAACAGTTTTACTTACTTGGCAACATTTAGGCCACGAAAAAATTTTGCTATGTCCTGGTCGGACGATTGCCAAGGTAGACCACGTGCTCTCACTACACAACCGTTATCCACTTCTTCATCTTTTGAGCTGCAACAGAATCAGGCCGATTAACCTCGACGATCGATCTCGAATGATTTCATCGAATGACAAAAAAGAAACTCACCATATACCAGGTTCTAAAACAATGTTGACTACTTCGGGGGTTTGGAAGACGTGACCTACAAAACGAAAATATTCCAGTGTTAATTACAACGTGATCGGAGATGGTTCTTCGCGAACATTTTTCGCTCACTTCGGCTTTCGTGGCAATTCCTCCCGTTCGAATCGGGATTCTCCCGCGAAAAATAACGGTCGTTCCGGTGTAAACCCGACTGTGACGCTTACGCGTTTCCGGTGTAACCGTATATACACACACACACACACACACACCGCCGATGGTTTTCGCTCGAATTTCTCGCGACCAAGCGAATTGTATTCGATTTGCCAACTCGTTGGTCGACGCGTGATCGTTACAGTACCTTTTTTTCCGCGGAATCGTGGCTCGGTGTTGCGCCACTTATTTTCGTAGCACGTCGATCCCGAAAAATAACGAAACAACATTTAAATTTATCTCGCGTTATCAGATATATTTTATCGGCGGATTAACACAGCGAGACGAGAGAAAAAAAAGAGATTCACAATCCGACACGCGTGCGTTGTGTCGGTCGTGTAGAAAAACGTTCGCGAGGATGAGCACCGCTATGATAAGGAATACATTATGGCCGTCGTTGCTTATAACGCTACACAGCTTGACCCACGACTCGTAAACCATAAACACGCCAGAAGGGACCGATGCACGGACCCGAGGCGTGTCGTCGCCCCGTTCTCTTATTCCGGCCCTATTCTTCTCGCCGATTCGCCTTTCTTTATTCGCGTGCAACGCGAACACGAAAATGCTCCACGAAATAGGCAACATTGTCGATACGAGAAAACCGGCTCCCGATCGGCGCTTGTACACACCGTTACAGCCGGTGACGCCACACCACGGGACCTGTTGGAACACGTTCGAATTTCATAATTCGAAAATACATTCCCAACGGTTCGCGTCACGCCGAGAAAATGAAACGTTTCATTTCCGATAATTTACTGTACATCAGAATCGAGAGAACATCGTGCTATCGACAGTCGACTCGAAAAATATTCGAATGCCCCGTGTACAATGTGCAGAGTGCGCGAGCCGCAGGCTTCCACGAAAAATGTTGCCTTGAGAGTCACGTGACTCGACGTGCTACGGCTGAAAAAGGACAGATTCATAGTCCGTCCACGTGCCGGTTGGAACGAAGCTCTACGGACACGAGTGAATTAACTTCGGATTCCGTATTCGTACGTTTTACCGTTCGTGCAATAATTTTCAAGCAAAACCATGGAAGTCGCATCGCATAAAATACACCCGACTGTGGCGACCGGGTGAAAGGTTATACCCATTTACGATCTCGAGGCAAATCGGCAAAGGTTCGCGATTGAAACGAAATTCGCCAGACTTCTCACATTCGTTACACGCGAATCTCGTATTAGCGACGGACCTTAATCTTTCGACAACCGGGCCAGTCATTTTCTTTTCCAGCACGCCAGACTTTTTTAATTACAAAAGACTCTCGCTATCGGTCGCACCGAGCTGATTAGATATCAATTCCTTTTTTTTCTTCTCTCTCTCTCTCTCGTTTTCATTACACAGTGGCATATTATCACGAGGAAGATCGTGAATATACAGCGTGTTGCAAAAATGTCTCGCAATCCGAAAGTGGCGGGTTCCTCAGGTCATTTAAAGCAACTTCTTCCTTTACAACAATGTTCTCCGAGGCACCGTTAACGAGTTATTAACGAAAAACAGTGACCAATGAGAGGCGAGCTCGGCTGGCGCGAGGCGACCAAGTCAATGAGCGGAACTGGGGCTTCGCGCGCTGGTTGGCTGGGTCGCCTCGCGTCAGCCGTACTCGATTCTTATTGGTCACTGTTTTTCGTTAATAACTCGTTAACGGTGCCTCGGAGAACATTGTTGTAAAGAAAGAAGTTGCTTCAAATGACCTGAGGAACCGGCCACATTCGGGTACATATCCATCCGGTTCTAGAAGAGACTTACCATCTTTGATCATTCTCTGTATCACGCTGATCATGTCCTGCATCTCCTTCACATGATAATCGTTCTCCGTGTCCGACGGCAAACCAAAATCTGATCGTCGCTGGTCAAGGATAAACAAGTGTGCTCGTGATCGATCGACGGATAGCGTGTCGAAATATTCGATGCCCGGAGATTCCGATTAATCGATGAGAATCTTTTACATAAGCGGGCAAGGTGTACCGCGATATGGAACGGGTCCAAACATTATCGAGCCCGTTATCGATAAACGGTAATAAGCGCGCGCGCGCGGACGATTCGATACATTTTTTTACAACGATGCCAAAAAATCGAGCCGGATCTCCATGGTGTGTTGTCCCGGTCGGAAATTTTATCTCGCTGAACTAGTTCGATTCGAACGAACAGCCGATAAAAAAATAATCCGGGTGTCGAAAGAGATCGTACGATAAATCGGCGGAGAACGCAATAGAAAAATTGTCAAGACGAATATGCCGGAGCTATACGCATCAAGGATGAGCAGCTGGAATACCAAGAAATCGAACGAACTTGCTGCGCGCGTAATTATCCGTATATCTCGTCCGGACTGTTACCAATATCTCCGGGCAGGTTGACCTTTAAACTGTGTTCCGCGCGTGATAAGACTGCGTTGTCCACTCGGTGGGTCTTTCTTAAGTCAGCTCTCGATTGATATTCGTGCCGCGAACATTTCAATTTCGCCCGATTTCAATCCCCCCGTACCCCTCTCTTCATCTCGATCACGCAAAAATCTCGAAACATTGCGTTTGTCGCGCGAACACTCTCCGCGATTCTTAAAATGATCACGAAGATGCGACCTTGTACGCGGTGACTATTATTACTCGGACATTAATATTCGAACAACTTTTAAGACGAAACAAACTTTACTCGGATGACTTGAAGATGTCGGAGCGCTCAGTACACTGTACGCAATGTCTACAAAAATCTATCGATTATGCGAAAAAATTCTGCGAATTTAAATCTACGAAAAGCATTTTTCACACATTCGTCACAGGCACGATTGAAATTTAAAAAATAAGGTAGACATTGCCTAGTCTTTCCAACATCTCAAAAAAAATACAAGTCGATCGATATCAATATCAATTCGAAATTGGCTGCTGTGGTTAATTTGGTTACGAAACAGGGACCCCGACAGAGAGCCTTGACTGAGAACCACTACTGCAAAAATACCGTTTGGGAAGTGGCGACTAATGTATGCATTATTCCCGGTTTGTTTACAATGACCGCGGACATTAACCCTTTATAGGGCACAATGATTGAGACGCGATAAGCGTTTCTGTTTGCCACTGAGAACGTTGATAATTAAGTCGCTAAGAAGGATTCATTGATATTCCGTCTTTTCGTCTTAGCCGTGCACCCATGGGTGCACCGGTGTCAACGGTAAGAGGTTAACGGTAGGGGGGGGGGGAGGGGGTTCAAAGCGAATACGAAACAAGAGACTATCGAACCAGAAGGCAAATCGAGAACTCGACTCAGCACTGGCGTCGATCGATATTCAATGCGTGTTGTATCACGACGGCCACAGGTGGTTTCGGTTTGTTAACGGCAAATATGATACACGCGCGCGTCGAGAATCGAACGATTATAATTATAATACCATATATCCTCGTCGCGAGAAGTCGATGTCGCGGTTGGATTTAATCCACGGACCAGGTAGCCATTTGCATTCGCGCTTAGAGAACGTTTCCTCTTTCGGCTGAAATCTCGCCCACGGTTCCTACACGTTCCATGTAAATGCAAGAAAATTCAAAAGGCGTACGCGAACGTCGGAACAAGTTTGCTCGATGCTTTTCTGTATTTTCCGCGAAAGTATTTATTCAGACAACGTCCGTCCCGGTCGCGCGGCACATTTTGAGAACCCCTAAACAGGATCACATTAAGCCGTCCCTGACCCGTTGACACTCGACACTCGAACGGCACTTGGAATTCGAAACGTTTTCACAAAGTTGAAACGTCTCTACCAGTTTTCAACGACGGTCGAAAGTCGCTCTTCCGCGCGTTATGCAAAGAGAAATAAGTCGTCGCGTCTCGCGTGTGTCTCTCGAGGGCTGCACCTTGGAAAAGGTTAAGATTCCAGTCGAAAAGTCATTTGAAATCTCATCGTGCGACAATGTACACGCGAATGGCTCCGCGACGATAACACGTACGGCGAAACGGGTGAAACACAAAGGATCGTCGCGAAGCATCGGCCACGCAACAGGGAAATATTTGCCACCACGACGGGCATTCCGATCGGCCGATCTAATTGCACCGTGCGTGTAACGTGGAAACAAAAATATCGCGACGAAAAAAATTTTCCCGACGCGAAGCTTAACAGGAAACGTCGACGTCCGTTAACCAAAAAAAATCGAACGGAATCGGGACATGTTCGAACGTTTGCGCATACGTGGTCGAAGCGGAAATACGAAAAACATACCTCCGTTGAAGTTGGAATCTGAGCGGCGTTCGAGGTAACGCTGGGAACGCAGGGTGGTTCTGGTCGTCTGGTGACCGACGAGCGTGGCCGAAAGGAACAATATAATCGCGCACAGAGCTCACTTCGGTTCTCGTGCTAGAAAATTTGCTGGATTTGCAAAGCACGTGACGCGAGAGAGACAGGTCGACGTCGATGTACACGATGTCGCGTACTAACTGCGGCGAGAGCGTAATTAACGCGGCACGCACACCCTCGACTCTCGACTCGTCTGCAGACTGACTTTGGATTGTTTGATACGTCGGGATTCGACTTCTGTCGCGCCGCCTAACGGCCGCGCGCCTTGGAATTCTCGGCCGGAGCATAGTCGTCGCAGCACGGCCTTAAGGCGGCTGCGTGCTATCAAAAACCGAAGCCTCGACTTTGATCGAGTCGGTACGTTTAACGCGACGACGGGGAACCGCGCGAGGGGAACACCGAAACGGCCACGTTTTGACGACGATGCGCGCACTCGCGATATTATTGTTGGAATTAAATTGCGAACGCTTCTCGTTCCTACGGATTTTTCAGGATCGAGAAGCAACGGGTATCCACAGGGGGCCCCTCGAGCGGTCCGTCCCTCTAGTACTGTATTCCGGGTGCAGAGGGCACGCGTACCGATGTTTATGGCCGAGGGGTGAGACGAGAGTGGGGGCAACGTGGATCGAGCGGAGAAGATCCCTAAATTGACAATCTTGTTGTCCCGATTGTTTGTATATTCTCTGCAAACGAAAAAAAAAACGACACCTCGAACGATCAGTGTTAATTTCGTGTGCACACGAATAAACTTATTAATCCTGTGCAGTCTGGGGCAGCGCTAACCGTTCTCGTATCACGTTCCAATATAATGTCGTTTGTAATTTCACTTAGCAATATTTTAACCGTTCGATAGCCCTCATTCATAGTTCATGGAAAACTATTCGAGAAAAAAAGAACTCGCTATTTAATTTCCACTCCTTGCAATTCATGCAGACAATTTTTCTTTCCCATGAAAATCCGCAGTAATTATATTCTGGGTCCCGATAGACCCGAACTTCGCCGTCCGAGCGTCAAGAACGATTGTTTGCGTTTCCTTAAAAATATTAGCCATGCACGTGTTCGAAAGCCGAAGCCGAGGCTCGTAAAAGGATACATTCCAGCATCTCCTGTATTCCAAAGGTCGAGAGCTCCCCGTGGGTGGAATAACAGGCGACGAATTCTTTGCGGAGATCGTGGAACTGGTTGTAGTGTTCCGGCAGCTCGATGTCTTTGTTGCAGGCTTCTGGGTGGAGGCATTGTCTCAGAGGCGCTTGTCCGTCCACGACGAAACGCGGCGAGGAACCGGACGTCACGCAGGACATCGACGACCACCATGCTTCAAACTTTCGTGAAAAATCGTAATCTTTATACGTCACTTCCTCTTCGAACTTCAAGCAATTTCTACGGCCATGAACACGATCTTACCCCTCAACAGGGGTATGCTACCGTTGCTACCCCTGTTGGGGGGTAATCGTTTAACTAAAACTACTGTAATTAGCGATGCATATTCCAAACAATATTATACGATGGCTATGTGTAATATTTTTGCATCTGTAGTTTCATTGTTCTAAGAGGTTAACCAACCAGTAGTGACCAAATTTTTGTTTAACCTACAATTTTGTTGACTACGTGCGGGCCCGTCCGACGAAGAAACGTTTTCTTATCGACGAACATATATCGACGAAAGTAGCGTGATTAGAGTGATTACCTGCTCGATGACCTGTTCGAGGGGGATTCCGTATTCCCGAACTGCTTTCTCGGTCAACGCTGGCGCGTGAGCCAGCGCCGCTTCGCTGATGACGCCGCTACTTCCGGCGACCGCCGGGTTGTCGCTGCCAGTGCCAGGCGTGCAGCTCTCGTCCATTACCATGGGCCGCACGATAGACTGTTGCCTTCCCAGCACCTGTAATCGTCGGATGCAACGGTCAGAAATCGTGCGAACTGATTTGGAAGATGACTTACGATCGAGCCATTCCGCAAGCTTCGTTCTGGATCGTCAGACGGCCGGTAATGACCCATAAACGGCCGGTAAACGGTCGGCGCCGCGCGCCCTGCAACCGTGCCGACATCCGAGTCGAAATGGTTGCGCGTCCGCAGGGGCAAAGCACACGGGAGACGCGCGCGTTCGTTTCGCATGCATTCGTATAGACCATTATAGAACACATTGTAGTCAATTTACGGGAAAAAATACATCGACGAATATGTAATACGTTCAACGCATGCAGTAAACGCGGTTTAATTGAAAAATGTAAAGGGGTCTCGTGCGTAACTCGGTTCGAGGATCGCGGACCGCAATCGACTCGTATAATCGCGATAATCGGAATCGCGACGCGACACGCGGGGACAGTCACGCGCGCGCGCGTATGCGTGCGCGTGTGTGCTCGGAGCTAGACGATGTCGTGCAAGAAACGTTAATAAGCACGTTCCCTGACGTGGGGTTAACGGATCAAGGTAGTTCAGTGCGGACGAGAGTGCCACCTGCGACGGACTTGAATTATCTTTGGCAACGTGTCGATAAAGTCTCGTGGCGTAACTCGCGGCGTGTACACGCACACCAGCAACGGTCGGCGCACCATTACGTAAATTCCGAATGATTGCTCGACAATTTAGCCATGATACTGTTTTGATAACAATCGGCCGCACACGGGTTTGTTCAACGATCCGTCGCGTAGAGTCGTGACGAAATGATGCCGATTTTTCTTCCGGTATCGGGATTAACGAAATCGTAAAAGGATTATTATGGAAACTTATCGAGTCGTTGGATTTTATCGACGTTCCCAGGAGAATTACGGACTGGCTCGACGGTTCGACTGCCTCGGAAAGTATACCAACGTTAAAGCACATTGTTGAATAAAACATTTAAACTGAAAGATTAAGTTGCAGGACTATATATTCAAAGTTCTCGCAAAATTCTCTGCGACTCGATAAAATTAGAAAAATAATACAACGAGACGCCGCGAAGATGAATTTTCAAATCCAAGCGAAGGATACCGTCGCTTACGTATGGGTGACACGGCAGTCGAGGTGTTAAATTACCGTGCAGGCTACCGAACGATAATTAAGGACTGTCAATGAAAATAAAACGCAGCGAACGCTAAGTGACCGTGCAGCACGGAACGATACAAGGAAAGACAGAGGAACGTTAACGAAGTTTTTCTTCTCTTTTTACTTTCGTTCTAATGCAAAGAGTCTCCGCGAGCGGCAGGCGAACTGCGTTTCCGTTTCGGTTTCATGCTTGTAAGTGCCTCTGTAAAAACGCGAATTTACATAACGATCTGCGATTTAATAACAACGGAAGCGGAACGTGCAAGTTTATGATTATAATGGCTGAACCGGACATTGCTGGTTGCAAATAAAATTGGTTGGAGCGCGAAGTAATGCTGTTCCTCGTCGATCGGAAACAGAGAACCCGCCCCCCTTCGATCGATTTTTCAATCCGGGATGACGGAAATCCGAGATCTTGAAAAATCGACGATAATTTTCATACGACTAAATTATATTCGCGCGAAGTAAAAGTGAGAATAAAATGGAAATAAAATGAGAATAAAAATGTATTTTCTCTCTCTCTCTCTCTCTCTCTCTCTCTCTCTCTCTCTCCGTTAATATACAGGGTGTCTCAAAAATGTCTCGTAATCCGAAAGTAGGGAATTCCTTAAGTTATTCGAAGTAACTTTTTCCTTAGCGAAAATGCAAACCGCGGCTTCGTTTGCGAGTTATCAACGAAAATCAGTGACGAATGAGAGGCGAGATCTGCTGGCGCGAGACGGCCGAGCCAATAAGCGGAGCTGGGCTTCGCGCGCTCGTTGGCTCGGCCGCCTCGCGTCAGCAGAGCTCGCTTCTTATTGGTCGGCGTTTTTCATTAATAACTCGTTAACGAAGCCGCGGTTTGCATTTTCGCTAAGGAAAAAGTTACTTCGAATAACTTAAGGAATCCACTATTTCCGGATTGCGAAACATTTTTGGGACCCTGTATACAGCGAGCTGGAAATAATGTAACAGCGTAATGAAAATTCTTCAACTATGTTCGTTGTTCCCGTTAGCTCGCCAGCTCCTTTTTCCTCATGAACGCATAAAATCGGCCGCATAATTACGAGGATCCTACCGAGAAACGATTCACGGCGCCGAAGAAACCGCACCGCGATCGCGGCGATACCTGTCCGCAGTTCACTCGGACTTCGTCCGGCGAGTAAAGAGGCGCGGGGCATGTCGTAAAGTTGTTCCACGATAGCCCGGTAGGTGGGCGGAGGTGAGATCGAAAGAGTGTCGTAAATTTCGAGAGGTCGGGTTCGACCGATTCCCGAGCGAAAATCGAAAAAGAACGATCACTGCTCGCTCTCGGAGACCGCGCGCGCGCGCGCGCTCTGCATCCAACGAAAACAGATTCTTCTTCTCCGTCGTCGACTCGGCGTCCAACTTGCTCGCGTTGTGCATATTCATCGAAGAAAACCGTTTCGTGCGCGGAAGCGCGTCTCGCAGGAAGCGAATAATCGTTCGCGTCGACCGATAAAAAAAAGCTGGACAAAAGAAATTGCGGGGCGAGGGGCGCGCGGGGAGGGATAAAATAGTGCGACGCGGCCGCGAAAGTCGTCGGCAAAAGACGAGCCGGAATGTAAAACGACGAGCTCATAAATTGCAAATCGAAGTCGGACGCAAACACGGGGACGCGCGACCGATGGCCAGGGGAACGCGAAGACTTCCGCGGCGGGGTGGGGAGAGCGGCCGGCGGTAATGCACGGAAGAGGGCAAAGGTCGCGAGTTACGTCTGGTGCTCGGTTGCCCTCGTCGAGGACGCCGGCGAACGGGTAACGCGATGCAATCGACGCTCCGCTGACGAATATTACAGATCTCCTATGCGATAACGTAAAATTTGGCGTTTCGACGCTCGGACGTAGATTAGAAAATATTCCACTCCGGAGGAGCTGCTCTCGCTTCGAAGCGCCTGCTCCTAGTCGCCTGTTCCTAGTCGTCTCGCCTCTGCGAAAAGACATGGAAGAACACTCATATACGTATCAATGTGTGCGAACGCCCCGCCCTTAACCTGCTCCGTCGTCGTCGCGTCGTGGCCCCGCGTTTACCCGAAGCGAACTCTGCTCTCGCCCGCGGCGTTCCACAGCGAACCGCGGCGAGGATGCATGGTTTTTATCGATGGGCTCCCGTATGCGACCCGCTCGATACACCTTGAAAGTTCATCGTGCCAGTTTCCGCAAGAACTAGAAACAGCTACGTAGTTATGCGCTCGCTCTTTTTTTTTGCTCCCCGCGACGACGATGCAAAAACCTCGCTCAGGATTGCGTCCGTAGTCTGGAGATCTTTTTCTTTTCGTCGGGAAAACGACGCGCGGTTCGTTGGAATTCTCGTCGTTAGATAAATCGAACCAACGTCTCGGATGTGTACTGTAATTTTACCTTTTTTTTTGTCTCCGTTGTTTTTGTTTCAACGTTAAACCGGTCGCAATGACCGGTCCCAAATTTTTTCTATCGAAATCGTCGACGATTATCTTTCGTGGGAAACGATTAAATATTCTCGATTCAAAAGTACGCTGTAAATAAATAAAACCAGCTTGACGTCGTCTAAATGAATTCTGGTAATTTTTATCGAAGCAACGCGCGTGACGGTGGGTTCTCGCTGTTAAATACGTCGTCGAAGGAAAGCTGTAAATTCTTGGAATATCGTAGCATGTGCTACAATTTTAAATGTTTACGCAAAATGAATTCGAGGTTCTTCGCGTGTAACACGATACCGTGGTCGGCGCGCGCGCGCGACGCCGCCCAGCGTCGAAACAGAAGCGGGCACAAGTAAGTGGAATAACATTTGGAACTCGCCGTTTAAGAGGTAAAAGTCGCGCGACGTGCCAAATATTTCGAAATACATCCTGGAAAGTGGCAAATTACTAGATAAGACCGAGGCCGGCAGAATTAGCCGTCCGGTGTGTGCCGCGGGCTCGCAGGAATGTCTAAAGAATCCCGGCCGTCGAAACGATTCGGTGAAATATCAATTTTCGAGGCTCCATCCGGCTCTTTGATTTCCGTCCCCGAGGCTCGATCCGGCGCAGCCTGGGCGCAGCGATTTCAAAGACCGTTGCGCGCGCGCGCGCGACGCGGCGGCATCCTGAAATCCTTTTCCCACCGAATACATTAAATCCTAGCGGTATCCGAGCCGGTGCGAGAGAGGACGGGCGAGCCGCACAAAGAGGGAGGGGGAAGGGGGGGACAGAGGGAGGCACGACGAAAAAGAAAAGGCTCCGAATGGACGGGAGAAGGCCGGAATGGGGCGGCCGGACGCGAATAATAGACTGCACGCGTAATATCCGAGGCTGCCGAGGAAACCGAAGAAGATGGAAAAGAGGAGCGGAAAGAGAACGAGCCGAGTAATTGGACGGTCGTCGTGCGTTACCGTGTCCGCGCGCCGTGTTTGCGGAACAAAGTGGACGTTCCCGCAAATATTTACTCGTTTCCCCGACGGAATAACATGGCGGCGCGAACGCGAACGACGCTGGACTTCGCGGCTGGACCAAAAAATCGGAGCTTCCGCCGCGAGACTTCGACGCGTTCGCACGCTCGTTCGAAGCTCTAGTTTTTAATTGCGTGGGAGTCGAGCCGCGGTTCGCCCGCGGCCATTTTACTCGAGGTCTCCGCCCGTAGGAGGCGTCCGATAGCGACGGGGCGTCGAAGCTCGCATTCCCTGCGATTCCGTCGAACCCCAGGGCACACGTTTCTGCTCTCGATTTCTCACGTGTACGTGCCTCGAGGTGCAACCCTTTTGTCGTCGAAATCGTTCCACCGTTGCTTCAAATCCTAAGGCGTAAAGCTTCGAGAAACTAATTTATTGTATTTTCTTCAATTTGATTTGATTCGATCTTCTTCTTTTATTTCATCTATTTTAAATTGATTTTATTTTCTTGTT